ACGTAAAGCCCCTATGCATGAACAATCAGTAAATACTAACTGTAGTACACACATATATCAACAAATTGCTGACCCTTTAAAACACATAGCAACTGTTGCTGATTTACTACCTGATGCACCTGATTGTAAATTTTGTGGTGCAAAGCGTTTATATTCTGAATCACCTGGCTTTTGTTGTTCATCTAGGGAGATAAAACTCCGGGAAACAATAATGCCAGTAGATTTAGTGAGATTATATACAGAAAAATCTGAAGAGTCTAAACATTTTCAAGCTTGTGTGCGTAGTTATAATAATATGTTTGCATTTACATCATTAGGAGTTCATTATGATAAATCTTTAGCTCAAAGAAATGAGGGTGTATACACATTTCGTGTTCAGGGACAACTTTATCATTTTATGCCTGCTTTAGTACCACCTGAAAATGAAAAACCACAAAATTTACAGCTTTATTTTTATGATACAGAACATGAAATTGAAAATAGGCTATCCATAAGTTCAAAAAATTTCAAAGAGAATATTATAAAAAATTTAATGGACATCCTGAAACAAAACCCTTATGCACATTTTTTCCGAACATTAAACAATGTTGATAATTTATTGGCATTTAGAATTGCTTTACAAGCTAATCCAACATTTGATAATAACATATATAATAAACCATCTGTATCTCAAGTGGCAGGAATATGGTTAGAATCTAAAGAATCTGATGAAATTGCAGGTCAACATATTCAAATATATCCTAAAAGTAATTTTAATGATAATAAATCTCAAATTATTCAAAGTTATTTTGGATGTTATGATCCACTACAATATCCACTTATATTTCCTGCTGGAAATCCTGGGTGGCATCGGTCAATTAAAAGATTGAAGCCCTTGGGAATTGGTGTTTCTAAAGAAACATGTAGTGGAGAAGTTATACATACAATTGAAAATTATAGCAATTCTGATGATTTTCTAAAGGCAGAAATAGAAGGTAACAAAAATATTTACATTTCTTTTTTTTCCTGATGCGTAAAAATTAGGAACATAATCAAGTTAACAATAGTTTCCTATGACGTAGGTATGAAGAAAAGAAAAAACACCAGAGATGAAATTTCATGTCGTGAATATTACTGTTATAAACTGCAAGTTAGAAATAGTGATAAATCTTTTTTGCTCCACGTTGGCAGATTATTACAACAATATATTATAGACATGTATATTAAAATTGAAACATCAAGGTTACAATTTTATAGAACAGATGAAATGCAAAGCCGATTAAGAACTGATGTTTATCGTGGTCTTCTAGATGGTATTTCTCAAGGTCATAACACTGGTACTGAAATTGGTAAACGAGTAATATTACCAAAATCTTTCATAGGAGGGCCTAGAGATATGCGAAAAAGATATGTAGATGCTTTAGCTCTTGTTCAGCGTTATGGGAAACCAGATATTTTTCTGACCATAACAGCAAATCCAAACTGGCCTGAAATCAAAACTTTCTGTTTACAATCTGATGAATCTCAAAACAGACCAGATATAGTTACTAGAGTATTTCATGCAAAATTAGAAATGTTAAAAAAGGAATTACTTGAAAATAATATTTTCGGTGTAGTTATAGCTTACACATATGTTATTGAATTTCAAAAAAGAGGTTTACCTCATGCTCATTTTTTACTAATTCTTAACTCAGCAACTAAAATGTTTTCTGCTGAAGCATTTGATAGAATTGTATGTGCTGAATTACCTAATTCAGAAACTAATAAACATTTGTTTGATCTTGTAAAAAAGCACATGATTCATGGTCCATGTGGTAACTTCAATAGGAACTGTCCGTGCATGAAAAATAATAAGAATTGCAAATTTAATTATCCAAAAGAGTTTTCAGAAATTACAAAGTATGGACTTAACTCTTATCCAATATATCGAAGAAGGAATAATAAACAAACTGTCAAAATTGGAGAATTCTGGCTTAATAATCAATGGGTTGTGCCTTATAATCCATATTTACTTGCTAAATTTGGTTGTCATATCAATGTTGAAATATGTTCTACCATCCAAGCTATAAAATATCTTTATAAATATATATATAAAGGACATGATAAAATATTGTGTAAAGTAATTGAAGAGGATGGGCAGCTTGTAATTGATGAAATTAAAAATTTTCTTAATGCTAGATGGATTTCAGCCCCTGAAGCAATTTGGCGTATTTTTAAATTTGAGCTTAATAAGATACATCCTGCTGTTATACCTTTACCTATTCATTTAGAGAATGAACAACTTATTACTTTTCCTGCAAATCAAAAATTAAGTAGCATTATCAGAAATCCGTTGCTAAGAAAAACCATGCTTACAGAATTTTTTCACATGAATGAAACTGACAAATACGCACAGGAAAAAAATTGTTTGTACATTGAATTTCCAGAATATTTTACTTGGTATAGTACCTCTAGAGAATGGTTACCACGTAAAAAACAGCAAGTCATTGGACGTATTCTTATATGTCACCCATCACAGGGAGAAAAATTTTATTTAAGGCTGTTATTAATGCACATCAGAGCGCCAACATCTTTCAACCAATTAAAAACAGTAAAAGGTGTAACATTTGATACATATAAACATGCTGCACAAGCTTTAGGTTTAATGCAACATGACAGTACTGCTGATTTTTGTCTCCAAGAAGGTACTACTTATTTAATGCCATCTGCTTTAAGACAATTATTTGCTACCCTTTTATATTACTGCAATCCTTGTAATCCAGAAAAACTATTATTAAAATATGAAGACTTTTTAGGAGAAGATTTTAGGCAAGATAAAAATCTAACTGTTAATAATATTTGTTGTAAAATATTAGACACTATAGCTTATCATCTTTATTCAATGGGAAAAAATCTTGAAGATTACTTCTGTTCGAGCAAAGAATTTAGCATAAATCTTGAAAACAGTTTGACAAGAGAACTTCAAACTGAACAAAATATTATTATACCACCGGAAGATCTCTTAGCTATTAAACAGTTAAATAAAGAACAACAACTTGCATACAATCGTATCATGTATTGTGTAAAAAAAAATATCCCAAAAGTGTTTTTCCTTGATGGTCCTGGTGGTACTGGAAAAATATTTTTATATCGGGCACTTCTTGCTACTATAAGATCTGAAAAACATATTGCCCTTGCCTCTGCTACATCAGGTGCAGCAGCATCCCTACTTCCTGGGGGTCGCACCTCACATTCAAGGTTTAAAATTCCAATAGATGAACATAATTCCACATCATGTAATGTTCAAAAACAAAGTACTTTAGCTTACTTACTACAAATAGCAAAACTAATTATATGGGATGAAGCTACAATGGCAAATCGTACTGTAATTGAAAAATTTGACCTTATGCTTAGGGATATTATGAACTCAACTATAGTTTTTGGAGGTAAAATTGTAATATTTGGTGGCGATTTTCGTCAAACATTACCTGTTATCATAAAAGGAACAGAAAGTGATATCATCAATGCTTCGATTCTCATGTCACCTTTATGGAATCATTTTGAAAAGCTTAGATTATAGGAAAATATGAGAGCACGTTTTGATCCTTATTTTTCATCTTATTTGTTAAGAATAGGAAATGATACTGAACCAACAAATAATAGAGGTGAAATTAAATTACCAGCAGAGATAAATATTCCTTTTACTGATGAAATTACCTCGTTATACATGCTAATTCATACAGTATTTCCAGGTATTGATTCTTCTGATTTTAACATTACTCCTTTTGTAAATCGAAGTATACTTACAACCAGAAATGAATTTGCTCATGAAATTAATAATAGCATAATTGAAAAATTCTCTGGTAATGAAATAATTTATCTTAGTTGTGACGAAAGTACAACTGCATGCTCAATTCCTGATCAAGAAGAACTTTTCCATTCTTTAATGCCTCAGGGATTACCACCACACAAATTGATTTTAAAAAAAAATGCCCCTATTATATTGCTTAGAAACATTAACCCAACTGAAGGTTTATGTAATGGAACACGTCTTGTTTGCACTGATTTTACCAATAATATTATATGTGCTAAAATTTCAGTTGGTACATATAGTGGAAAAACAGTTTTTATTCCTAGAATCACAATAAATGCTCCGTTGGATAGCTTCTCTTCTATTCCATTTAAAAGAAAACAATTTCCTGTACGTTTGTGTTTTGCAATGACAATTAATAAAGCACAAGGCCAAACATTAGACTTTGTAGGAGTATATTTAAAAGAACCAGTATTTTCTCATGGTCAACTATATGTTGCACTGTCAAGGGCCAAAACTATACAACAAATTAAAGTATTGATAAGACCCACAACACCACTTTTATCAGGCACTGATTACACTAAAAACATTGTGTACCACGAAATTTTAACAGCAGCAAATACAAATTAAAAAAAATGTATATATATATATATATATATCTCCCTATGTAGACATTACTGCAACGGCATTTCCTTCTATGAAACAGTATGTATTCTTACTATTTTCTGTTTTTTTACTTTGATGTATATATGTAATTTATATTTTTATTTTGTGCAGATTTTAGTAGTGTATTGCACAGTTATAATCTGTATTTCCATTTTTTGTAGACAGGCTCAAGAAAAATGCATACCGATTGTCAGCCTTGAACCTCAACTACGCGAATGGTGTATTCGAGTGTTAGTTGCTGAAAAAACTCCCGTAAAGACACTTCAATCTGGGAAGACACAACTCAAACTTGTATTCATCGATAATCAGGTATAACCCACAGTACAATTATAGATTTCTTATCAGTGATAAAAACACATGTTTTGTTCTAAATTCCATTACTATATTAATTGTTAAATCCTTATCTTTCACCTATCTAACTGAAATGATTGTTTTGCAGCACACTAAAATACAATGTATAGTTTTCCATCCAGATGCCCTAGATTTAAACAAAGTTTTAAAGTTATATAAAACCTACTACATCGGCAATGGAAAAATCATACCACTGAATAGAAATTTTCCCATCATGGTGGATTACAAGTATCAAATGATTCTCAACAGAAGTGCATACATCAGGGCAACTGAAAAAGAAGAAGAACTTCCATTAGACAATGTTTATCGGTTGACTCCATTTGCACAGTTTCCGGATTTCATGGGTTCATCAGAAGATAGAGTTGGTAAATGCTTCTTTTTTTGCATTATAAACATTTCAGTAATATGGAATTTCAAACAGTTCATATATATCTCCATCTACTCATAATATTTCTCTTTCTCAGATGTATTATGCAGTGTTATACATTTTCATCCAGTGCATTTTGTTGCAACAAAAGGGAAAAGTGTGCAGGAATTCGTCATTGTAAATCAAGAGTATGTATCGTGCTGGAAATAACATACTTCTTACTGTTTTCCATTCATTTATCCTTAAAGTGTATAATTAGTAACACATTATTTTGAACTTACAGACGCTGCCCAATGTTTCTCAGTCTCTGGGAAGAATCTTTGCATGAAGAAGGCCAACGATTGGTTAACAACATCCACAAAAATCCGGTCATACTGGCTACAAGGCTAGCTGTAACCTCTTTTCACGGTAAGATTAAACAATTTTCCCCCCCTTCTTCTACCTTCTGTTTATACATATTGACAAATTTGAACCACAGGTATTTCTGTTAATGCACAGCCAAATAGTGTACTTCTGTTTGATGCACCAATTGCCGAAGCCCAAGAATTAGAATCATGGTAAGTGTAATTGAAATTTGTAAATTGATTTAAAACCTCAGTCTCCAATGCATATAAATTCTATAAAACTTGTGACTTTCTGCTATGATATTTCATGATTACTCATGGTCATACAATTTAGTTTCATCCTTGCAATTGTTCCACCATTTGATTTGTTCTTCATCATATTGTTTTTTCACTCAGAAAAATGAAATTTCAATTTAATTTCCAAGAGCTTATTTAGCAGTACTTGTTTGGATTATTACACAACTACTTCACTTTTATCAGATTTTGCGTTAAATTTGCATGTAACAGTTGAAAGTATGGTTAAGTGACATAACCATTTACTTTAGTTAAAGATTATAATTTGCAGGTTCATAAAATGACTGCAAAGGCATGTATGTTAAAAAAAATTTTACTTCTATTGCCTGTGGAAAATTCTCATTGTTAATTTAGGAGTTAAAATAATGCATTGTTTCGGCAGCGCCTCAGTTTATATGTACAAAAATGCAATTCAATATTTAGTCATTTTAAACACTAACATGAGTATTAAAAATACATCAATATATACGTCAAATTTTACATGTATCATCACTGTTTATTTTCAGCTTAATCTTCTTGGTCTTTGCTTACTGTTTATAGAAATCGATTACTGTTTACAGAAATCTATCAAAATTTCCAAATATGTCTTCTTCCTGCAGTAATGTCTGGATTTTTTCCCCTTTTTGGAATACCTTTGTACTTTGTCTGCATTTTTCCCCCTTTTTGAAATTTTCAATGGTCTTTTCTTTATTAACTTGGTAAATTTGTATCGTATCTGCTTGATTGATTAATGTTTTGTTCATACTTTGAACTTTGGACTGAAAAAACTAAGAGTGATGTTAGTGATTTAGTCACTTCACACATCACTTTTTTTTAGTAAAATGTTAACTGAAAATTGGAACAAAAACTTTATAACTTCACTCAACTGATTGATATGGTGCAATACCTTTGATTTCCCTTACCTTTGAATATAATTCACCAGTTTCGTATACTCACTTAGCATCACTGTTGTTGCGGATCTGAAAACGCAATTGTCGATTGTCCATGAAATTTTCGTCTACCCTGTTAAAGTTACCACATGTATATGTTTCAAAAATTGTCCGTGAAAAGTTCGTGTATGCTTCAAAAATTGTCAATTGCCCCATTGTATATGCTTGATTGTCCCATTGTGTATTTACATATGCTTGTTTTTTGATAACTGAAAGTTTATTTGAAAATGCAGTTGGTAAATCTGAAAGTTTAAAAACAAGCTACTCTAGCTTGTTTTTTGATAAGGTTTATTTGGATATGCTTCTAAAAATCTGAAAACAGAACATCTCTGAACTAAAAATCTGAAAGTTCAGGTTTATTTGCATAAGTTTCTTCTATATTTGATAAGGTTTATTCCATACATTTTGATTACTGTTACATCCATTCTTTTGTTGTTGTTTGTTTGTCCTTAGATTAAATAGGGAAAACTTACGGGTCTTTATGGATCTTTAGATTAAATACGAAAAACTTATTAAATGGTATGTCAAATAAGGTGCATTTCAGTGAAATATTGGTTTCCATTTCTGCTATCTATGAAATAATATTCGTTTCAATTAAATGATATGTTTGCTATGTCTGCTGTTAATATTGTTGCAAACTTTCATTGTTGGCGTGATTTTTATTTCTTTTCTCATTGTTTGCCAAAATTTAGGATTATATTTGCGTATATTTGTTCTTTGATAACTGAGCAGATTGATTGATGTTTTGTTTTCCCTGCAATTTTCTTACTGCTTGTCTATAATATATGTAAATTACTACCTTTTAACTCAATCCTCAGATGTGATTCTTGGTCCGTAAATATCCCCATATCAAAATTGAACTCACTGATATTCAATTATTTCAATACTATACTAAACTACAAAAAACATATGTATATTTTCAGTACTATACTAAACTACATATATACTAAGCTGAGTCTTCAATGTTTGCTAGAGTTTAATATGATTTTTACATAACATTAAATCAAGTTACAACCTGAAATTATTCTTCTGTGTTGCTTTTCTGTAGGATCAACGCGAACAATGAATACATAGAGGCGGTTATCTCCCAAAAGTTATATGAAAAAGTGCATGAGACAATAACGGCACCAAGTGACTCTCATGTTCGAAAAATTGCCCAAGTGATAAGTTCCAGTAACCCGGTATTTTACAATGTGCACTTGCTTTATAATTTTGTTTTAATTTTTACTCACTCACACATATCGTTACATGCAGCCAAGATCATTTTGGATAAAAGCAAAGCCACAGATTGTTGACAGAGATCAACGCATGTATATCCTTACTTGTCCAAATTGCTTCAGAACATGCGGGGCACCTTACCAAAAAAAATTCCCTTGTTTATACTGCAAAACAGAGCAACCATGTCCAAAACCTGCGTAAGTAACCTCTATCACCAAACTTGTTTACCAAAGCAAAATTTACATATACTATCCAACTAACTGCTGTCATTTATAGGTTACAATTTCAAATACAACTCTCTGATAAAACTGGCACTCTCAACGCTTTCATAGAAGGAAATGAAGCTGAGAAACTCCTCACCATATCAGCTGAACAATTGGCTAAATACAACAACCAGGTATTCTCTCTTTTGAAATTTCACAAACATCACTATTTAACAGATATTATATATAAAAATAACAAACTAGAACAACTATCTAACTTTCTTTTTTATTTTTGCAGAATAAACATCTAGATATTGACAAAATCAACAACAACCTTGAAAATTCAGACCGAATGTTTCACCTGCGATCAACCATCAAGATTCAACAAGAAACACCATCAAGATACATTGTCACCACATATCTTCCGTCATCTACATCATCCTCAACAGCAGTAGAATCCAGCGACAAAGAAACCTCTTCAAACTCTCCGAAAACACCAACCACAAACGTTGAAATGACTGACGAAGAAACCAGCGCATCCAACCAGCCAGAAATGCAGACTCTACCTGTGAAAAGAGATCTTTCATCAACAGCAAAACAAACGCAGAGATCCACAAAACATGCAAAACAAGATTAAAAGGTAATAGCATCTATCCTTTAGCATATAACAGGAACAGACTCTAGCTACTTCTTTTCAAAAACAACAATAGAGCAACAGTGAGTCTCTATTTTTTGGTAAACATAGGTTAGCATAAACATCTCTAGAGCCCATGTTTGCGTAAATATGTATTTTGTGTAAATAGTTAATAGTGTTCCTGTTTTAAATATGTTAGTTTTTATGTTAAATTTTGTATAAATATGTTAGATTCTGTACAAAATATGTTAGATTTTGGGTCTGGTTATATGCTAAAAGTATAACTGTGTTACAATAGTTGATGACTGATTGTTGAGTACTTCTTTCACTTCATTTTGATGATTTGATGGGTAAATCAGATTACACTATATGTTTGACCTTCTGAATATGATAAAGCTGGTTTCAGTTTGAATATGATAAAGGTGGTTTCTGTTATGTTTTCACAGCAGACCTGATGTTTATTTGATCTGCTCTCTTGCGATATGCTCTCTTGTGATATACCTTCTTGTGAACTCAGATTTGATGTACTCTCTTGCGAAACATTCCTTCCTTGTGAAATCAGATTTGATGTACTTTCTTGTGAAATCAGATTTGATGTACTCTCTTGTGATGTACTTTCTTATAATTTCTCACTGTTTTTACAGATTTCACAACAAAATTATAGATTTTCCAAAAACTTGATTTCAACAAGATATATCTAAATTAATTACGCTTATCCTTTTAGTTGTTTTCTCAGGTTTATTTGCATAAATCTCTTTTATATTTGATCATGTTTATTTCAGTTTCAAACTCATGAAAAAAAACTATAATTTCTGTAAAATTTAAGTTTAAATATTAACAATTGAATTCTCTGAAAATTGGGTCTTCCATAACTTTTGTATTTGGTCTCCTCAAAATTCCAACAATCAGTAATGTCTGGATTTTTCCCCCTTTTTGGAATACCGCTGTACTTTGTCTGCGTTTTTCCCCCCTTTTGAAATTTTCGATGCTTTTTTCTTTACTGACCTGGTAAAATTGTATCACATCTGCTTCATTGATTAATGCTTTGTTCTTACTTTAAACTTTGGACTGAAAAAACTAAGAGTGATGTTACTGATTTGGTCACTTTACACATGACTTTTTTTTGGTTGAATGTTAGCTGAAAATTGGGACAAAAACTCTATAAGGTCACTCAACTGATTGATATGGTGCAATACCTTTGATTTCCCTTACTTTTGGATATAATTCAACAGTTTCGTATACTCACTTAGCATCACTGTTGTTACGAATTTGAAAACCCAGTTATCGATTGTCCTGAAAACTTTGTGTATCCTATTAAAGTTACCATATGTGCATGCTTCAAAAATCGTCTGTGAAAAGACTGTGTACACTGTTAAAGTTACCACATACATATGTTTGTCAATTGTCTGTGTTATTAGTTGTCAATTGCCCCATTGTATATGCTTGATTGTCCCATTGTGTATTTACGTATGCTTGTTTTTTCACAACTGAAAGTTTATTTGAAAACACAGTTGGCAAATCTGAAAGTTCAAAAACAAGGTTTAATGGTATGTTTACTATGTCTGAAACTGAAATGGTATGTTTGCTATGTCTCAAAAACAAGGTTCTCCCTGTGAAATGGTATGTTTGTGAAATGGTATGTTTGCTATGTCTGTGAAATGGTATGTTTGTGAAATGGTATGTTTGGTATGTCTGTGAAATGGTATGTTTGCTATGTCTGCTGTTAATTTGGTTTTCATTTCAGTTTCAATGAAAAAAGAATCAAGGGAAACCTCCCTGTCGTAAACTTTCATTATTACCGTGATTTTCATTTCTTTTTTCATTGTTTATCAAAACTTCTTAAATTTATTCTTCCTCTTGTTTTTCTCTTAATTTATCGTTTACAGTTTAGAGTTTAGAATTTAAGGTCCCATTGTATATTTGCGTATGCTTGTTTTTTGATAACTGAGCAGATCGATTAATGTTTTGTTCTGGCTGCGAGCTTCGGACACAAAAAATTAAAAGTAATTTTAATCATTTAGCATCACTGTTTTTACAGATTTGAAACCACAGTCGTCGACTATCCCATTGCATATGATTATTTCAAAAAACAAGCATATATTGTCCGTGCACAAAATCTTATTGCATATGCTTCAAGGATTGTCCGTCAAAACTCTGTATATGCTGTTAAAATTACCACATGCATATGCTTGTCAATTGTCCATGTTACAATACCGGGCCTTTAGATTAAAGTCATTGCATAAAGTTATTGCATGGGGAATTCATCATTACATAAAGTCATTTCTTCTTTACAGGCCTTTAGATTAAATAGGAAAAACTTAATAAATGGTATGTTTAATAAAGTGCATTTCAGTAAAATATTGGTTCTCATTTCTGCTATCTTTGAAATAATATTTGTTTCAATCAAATGGTATATTTGCTATATCTACTGTTAATATCGGTTCTCATTTCAATTTTAGTGAAAAAAGAATAAAAAGAAACCTCCCTGTCACAAACTTTCATTGTTGACATGATTTCCATTTCTTTTCTCCTTGTTGGTCAAATTTTTTCAAATTTACTGTTCCTTTTGTCTTTCTCTTAATTCATTGTCTAAATCCACTATTCAGATATTATTGTTTGTCTTTCTTTTAAATATATTATTTATTTACTTTAAACTACTTGCCATCTCATCCTTAAAATTTATAATCCATACAGCCCACTTTTCATCCACGTATACCACCCACCATAATACACCTGTTACTACACTGCCACATTTTTGTCCACCTATAACTCTACAACTTTCAAATTGCCACTTCACTCTTTTAAAAAATTGCCACGTTATTATTTCCAACCACCTACAACTTTCCTATTCTGCCAACAACACACGAATCATTTCACCCTTTCTACAACACCGTCTTTAAATAGTACCAAATATCACAATTGTATAGCAATCTCAAACACACAAAATGGCCACCCCTCAAAAATGCACATGTATTCACTGCGGTCAATGTACGTACAACTCTTGGTTTGAAAGAGAAGTAGATGAACTGCTGAAGAGATTTCTTTGCCATCCTATATGGAAATATGCTCTCAAAACTGCACTGAAGATGGATTGGAGCCTTTCACTACTGTTAGAAAGAAGTGCAATCCTTGAAGCTGAATTAAAGACTCCTTTACATCCCATGTAATCTTATATATATAAAAATCATCCGTTCTTTCTCTTCCTTTGAAAACTTTATGTACGAAACATTGTAAAATACGTTTTTTTCACTCTTTTGTAATTTCATTCTCCAATAAAACATTATCATCAATATATGTAACATATAATTTTGTACACTTTTCACACTGTTTATAGTTATAATTTTCGTGCAAATACCATAAATATACAATACAATTGATTAACAAAGATTTCAGCATATAAACTTCCACGACTTCCTGGCTCCACCCTACCCAGCCCCACCTCGTGCGGCCACCACCGCTAGTATATATCAAAACAAAAATATATAAGACCTAGTTGCTGTTGAAGACCAATATAACTTTTTTTTCTTTCCAGACATATGAACTAAACTTGTGGATGGATGGTGTAAAAGTAGGTTTAAGCAATGTTACACAATAACAGAGTAGTCTCGACAATAGCTCTGCACAAGTTCTTAGATAAGTGTTTTGTATGAGACTTGTGATGCCCTTCATTAGGGCAAACATTTGTCTGTAACACTTTACAATTATTATTTCTGATAATATGTTATTATTTCATTTTAAGATAGCCTTTTTCACTATATGTTCCAATATCCAGACATTCTTTAAAAAAAAAATTTCTTTGATGGGCTAAATGAGGAGTTGTTGCATTCTGTAATATGGTGGAGTCCTAACCGGGACTTCTAGCGGAGATCTAAAATGACTTAATTATTTGGCTGTTACACCAACACGAAATTTAGGAATTTGATCCCCATGTTTCAAAGAATAGTCCTTAAGGATTTTTTATGCAAATGTGGTTCTTATTCAATTTAATTCAAAGCAGTCTCAACGAATGTCCGAATCCCTTAAATTCCCTCCTAACTTTGCGTGAGATATTACATTTGGAATGTAACTTAAAGACTACAAGGGTAAGAAAAAAGCATCATATATATAGGTGTATGAAATCTGCTTCTCTTGAAACATAGTTTGCAAACTCTCGATCCTGGATCGTCGGACGATTCTACGATCCCATGTACCTAAAACAATCATGTATCGATCAAACTCGAATTTCGCAGTGGAATCAGAGTAGGATCGGTTAGGATCGGTTAGAATCGGTCAGGATCGGTTAGAATCGTACAGGATCGGTCCGAGTTTACTATTCATCAATTACAAAAAATTAATTGAGGTTATTGAGATTTTTCTTTTCTCTTACTTCTTTTAGTTCGCATTAAATTGAGGCAAATATTCTTTGAGAAAACTTTTATTGCTAAGAAAAATATATTTTAGAAAGTTATTCTAATAAAATGAAAAGAAGAACTATAAGAGAAGAGTTTTTCTTAAAAAGTTATGAAAAAATTCATATAAGAAAATTGAATTTACACAATTCTTTTTGTTTAGCTGTTAAATATTTCATATAAAAATAATTAAAACCTAATTATCAAAGAAATTAATTATATAATATGTATAATTAATTTTACGATCCTACTATTCCGATCCTACCGATCTTGTTTACGATCCGATCCTATGACCCCATTTCGATCCTGTGTAGAATCACGATCTTGCAAACATTGTCTTGAAGACTCGTGTAGTAAAACACTGAGGAAAAGTGAGAATGGTATTCAATTTTTTATAAAACCAACTAGGTAATTAAGCATTCTCTCAACAAACTTTAATTGTTGGCATCTTCAACGATTTAAATAATATGAAATGTTTCAATAGCGAAATGCTATGTAGAGTATGTTCAAACACAGATTATTATTATTTTTAATTACACGCCCCAACCTAGGACTTAGTTGACACACCACGAGTATAACAAAGAACGATGTCTAATGTTATACAAATAAGGCATT